TTGCTCTTCCGTCCAAACGCACTTCCCTGATACAAGGTCCAAGGTTCCGCCAACGCCGAAGAACCAAATCCGGCAACGGTCTGGCCAGTTCAATGTTTCTGGTTCGACCCCTTTAGAAATCAGGTCATTCTCTGCCTTGTCCCACAAAGGTCGGGCTTTGAGGTAGCCACCTGACCCAGTGCGATGGTGATGCTTCTTCTTCGCAGCATTTTTCTTGTTTATCGCTGACATCTTCTTACTCTTTTCTGATGTCTTGTGGGCCACAAATGCGGGCCAGTGATCTATGATCTTCTCATACTTTCCGGTAAATTCTAGTGTCTTTTCTTCGTCGACAAACTCTGTTTTCAGCTCATTCTTCCACCTCCTTAATAGTTCTCCCATCTTCTTAAGAGCATGAGACTTGATCAATTGCTCTTTAACTGGTTTCTCCGGATCCTCCTCTGGCGGTAGGGTGAAATTTGCCTTAAGCATTGTCCAAAGATATTCTTTCTGCAAATCAGAGACATAAGACACCTTAGGGTCTTCATTCTTAGGCTTTAACCATTGGTGGATACTGATCGGGATCTTGTCCCTAACAAGAACCCCGCACTGAGCATGAAATGCATCCCTTGTCCGGATGGGTTCAATCGGCTTGCCATCGCGCGCGATTGCTGTGATCTCAAACCTTTCATCCGAGCGCAACTTTTTCTTTAGGCCTCGTTTCCTTACCGAAGTTCTGCTCGATCCGGAGGGCTAGAGAAAAGAAGAAAGACGAGAGTTAATTAATATGTGTACATACGAAAACAATGAATGCATCAGTTAGCTAGTTAGCACATGCTTAACTAATATAGATACCTGGCCGGACTCGGTTCGGTCACCGGAGCTGTCATCACGGTCTCCTTCTTGTACCGGCATTGGGTCACCGGAGCCATCATAATCATAGTCTTCTTCTTCACCCTGTCCTTCCAGACCATCGGTGTCGTTGAGAAATGAGAAGACGGCATCACTTCCTTTTGCGATTATGTCCCCCAACATCGCTTCTGTTGCTTCGTCTCGGGGGTTCTCCATAGTTTCTGCAAATATTTACAACATAGCAATTATTATTCAAACATGACAGATGGATATATTAGTGGCAAACATAGAACTATCTAGCTAATCACAATAAGGATTTGGGGTGGCCTCGGCAACGCTTCAAGGGTTTGGGGTGGCCTCGAGAGAGTTTGTCGGGTGGGGGCGCGGTGGGAGGGGGGTGGAGACCAACATCATTTTTTCTAGGGTTTGGGTGTCCTCGAGATTTTTGGTCGAGCGAGAGGGCCGTGGGGTGCTCCCGTGGTATAAATTATCGTGGTCGAGAGGGGGTATATATATCGACCGCCCCTCATGTCAAAGTTACCGGGGAGGGGGTTATTTTGACAACGAAGACATATATACATGGGAAGGGGGTATATCGACCCCCCTCATGTTGAAGTTATCGGGAGGGGGTATATCGACAACGACATACCCGACAAAAAATAAGAAGACAAAGAAGAAATAAAAAGAGGAGAAGAAGAAAGGAATAGAGGAGAACATCGAAGAAAAAAAGAAGAAAAAAAAGAGGAGAAGAAGAAAGGAATAGAGGAGAAGAAGAAAGGAATAGAGGAGAAGAAGAACTTGTTTTTCTTTCTTTTTTCCTCTTCTTATTTATTTCTTCTCTTCTTCCTCTCTTCTTCTTTCTTCCTCTTCTTATTTTCTTTTTTCCTATCCTTCTTTTTATTCTTCTTCCTTCTTAATATCACTTAGCAACTTTTGCAACGATAGGGGGGGGGGGATATGCGCAGTCTGCATGACAATATTCTTTCTATGGATAAGCGGCGTCTCTCCGAGAATGATGTGGCGTACCCGTTTTTCGTGGCCAAGGTGCCAAAGGGCAAGGGCTTTGTTTATAGCACCATCGGGGGTATGATCGTCCTGCAGTTTTATGACATCTTCACTATGTTTAACCTTCATCCGCTGCACTACACCTTCATTCGGCTATTTTCGCTCAGTATGGAGATGCGGATCATTAGAGACAAGACCCCAGACATCATGATAGTCGACCCCTTCTACATGCGTGTCAAGATCTTGGGCAGCGCCGGGGATCGGCAAGTCGCGAGTTCATACCTTGAAGGCGTCATTCTGGCGAACCCAGATAAGGATAACTTCCTCGTGCCTTACTTTACCGAGTAAGTCATCCCCTGACCGCCCCGTAACATATGATTTCTCAGATTTTGATTGTTCTTTTTTTTCTAACATTACGTGTTTTGTGCAGTGACACACATTGCACACTCATCCTCTTAAGCCTGCAATATTCCATGGCCACGTATTTCGACTCGGACCGTCAGTCGAAGAAAGACTACACAAATATCAAGAGAGTTCTTGATGATGCTCTCCCCGGCTACGCCAAATCTGGAGGCACCTTCAGGAGGCCAATTTGTAGGTATGGCAAGCACGTGTTCACCCACATAACGACGTTCCCCTGCGTCAAGCAACCGCCTGGCGGTCAGAAGGATGCCTACTACGCCCTCCATCACATGCGGGCGATCGTACGAGACCATAATCACCTTCTGCTACCAACTAATCTCAAAGATTGGGCTGCACGCTTGTCGGCAATCCAGGACGCGGACATCAGACAAGAATTCTTTCGCATCCAGTCGGAGTTTGCGGAAATCATCTATCAAGATGTCCTTCGTACCTCGGGGCAGTTCTACCTAAAATATCGACCGTCCAATAGTGAAATAGATACAACGCTACAAATGCAGGCTGCCAACGACCGCACATTCATGACCATCATGATAGACGGCGGCTTCATCCATGCTCCGGTCCCTGAGTCGAGTCGAAAGTATTGATGCTATGTAGTTCTGAAATATCGATTAGCTCATGTTGTAATTAAACTTTAATGAACTTGTATGTCTCTTTAGTTTGGACAGTCGTTCCACTTATATGTAATCGATGCTATTTATTAGTAGGACCATGAATCGTGCTATTAATGTGTTGCTTTTCTCTTCCGATCATTTTGTTGCATACTTATATATTATCTGTGAATTGCTACTAACGTTTTATTTGTCTAGTGCATAGAGATGCCATCGCATGTCGTCTACAAGGGTAAGGTTTCCGGAGTCTAGGACGACTGGGAGGAGTGTTGGAGACAGGTTCACCATTTCAGCGGTAACAGTTACAAAGGGTACACCACTAGGGCGGAGGCGGAAGCTAGATACGCGCGCTATCTAGCGGGAGAGAGGAGGGAGCGGTGGAGGAACCGGATGAAAACCAGATTCATCGCGATGATGCTCATGATGACCGCAGCTCTCTTCTATGTGATGGTAGTTTAGATAATCGATATCGACTTTGTAATGTGACGACAAACTCGGCTAATATGATGAACTTTGCTAATGTCTCGAGACCTATACTTGGCTAATGTTTGAACTTTGTTCGCTATTTCGAATTTGGAGACTAATATGATGAAAATTCTATTGTGTGATGTTTACATTCTGTGCTGTAACGTATTTTGTAACCCGTGCAAATACCAGAAAAGCAAAAAATAATAATTCCTAATATTCATAGTAGTGGCGCACCATATTGAGAATTAGTGGCGCACCAAGGCTAAATACCAGTGGCGCATTAGGGGGCATAGTAATGACGCACTTGGGGGCACATGTGAAAGTAAATATGCCCCCCTAGGAGGCATAGTAATGGCACACTGTTGGACATAGTAATGGCGCACTATATGGTGCACCACTATTATCTGGAATACTAGTGACGCACCAAAGGTGCGCCATTACTATTTGTTACTAGTGGCGTGTTAATAATGACGCATCTATAGTGCGCCATTAATAGCAAAAACAGGTGCGCCACTAACATCCTTTTTTCTAGTAGTGTACCACTCCCACCATTCCACAATGTAGCGTGTGTAGATTTTTTTAAAGTCAAACTTTATAAATTTTAACCAAGTTTATAGAGAAAAAAACCTATACATCTATAATACCAAAATACATATCATTACATACATTACAAGACGTATTTTCATGTTGTACATTTTTGGCTGACTTTTAAAAAAATATATATGCACTACATTATGAAATAGGGAGAGTAGTAATTTGCCCTTGAATATCGTCTTCTATTCTCGGTTGGGGCCATCAACACATTGATTGCTATGACTTTTATTAACACTTGATTAATCTGCATAAGTGGATCAGAGCAAGGAGAGGGGGGATCTCAAAGTCTCACGGTCTACAAGGGGTCGGGGTGCCGTGTAGATTTCCACATGGCACAATCCAGGCACGACCTTATCCCAGTCATTTTCTTGTGAAAATATTTTGATTGCCAATGGAAATAGCCGCAATCTTTATCTAAAACGATACCCATGTTGTTCCTGTGCGCGATAAGATAACCCAGTCAATGATGGAGGTAGTGTATCATAGAATGAGTTGAGTTAATGATGATATATAATAGTGGAGTCGAGTGAATGTATATATACACACACGTTGCAGCCATTTACATGACAAGGATGGAATGATGTGTTTGTGGACCAATGTTGGGTGTGCTACTTGGGAAAAAAGAAAGGTAACCCTTTCACGATACAAAATGAAAAGATCCAATTCATCTGCTGCATTCAACATGATGAACAAGAGCAGTGTTGGGGGACATGCATAACAGATAGGCCCATGAAGGGTCAAAGATCATAAAGCACAGGGTCCACATATCAGATGGGCCCAGAGCATCGCTCGGAGAATCGACAAACCATCCACTCGGATGACCACCAAGTCACTCGGACGACAACAAAGTTAGTGTATGAAGTTAATTAAATAGTATATAATGGAGGGATGACCTTCAAAGTTTTCGGGGTCTTGTAGAGCCTTGCAAGATAAGGTATCTCTCCAGTCGGCCGGAGTTGCTGCGCTGAGATCTCCATGAAAGCTAAAGAAGTTAACCTTCCGAGCAAAGTGGCGCGAGTACCACTTTGCTTTCTCCTCCTGAGGAAGCTCATGGATAGCTCGGATTCCTCTCTAGATTCCCTCCATGACATCGAGAGGAATCCCATGATTCACCAGCTGAAAGAAGCCCCATGACTCTGCCGTGCTCCTTATCTCCTCCACGACCCCCTTTCGGCACTCCGGGGAATCAAACCCGGTGAGATCAATCACGGGGAATTGAAGGCTGCGAATCTTGTGAAGATGCTCGTCGTCTTCTTCCTCAGGGAGGGAAGAGCTGAGAAGATCCTCTGGAGGATGTATGAACATGGAGGGAAGCTTGGTGACAGCGGCGTCGACGAGGCCTTTGACGCCGGCTTTGCTCTCGTGGAAGGCTTTGATCTCCATCTCACGCTGGCTGTTGTCCACAACTGATGCCATGGTTTGTTTGTTTGTTTAAGAAACAACAAGTTTGCTTGCTAGATTGTTCTGGTGTTCTGCTCTATTTATATATAGGGGGAAAGGTTTTGATTTATTTATTCATTTGAGAGAATTAATGAGTTGAAGATAAGATGAGTGGGACTTGTTGTCTACCAAGTATAGTGTTGAAACAGGGACGGCTCTGTTAATTTCTACACCTACTGTCGCCCCAACAATCAGTGTGCAATAATTTTTTCTTTTACTTGTCTTTGATGGCCTTGGCTGAAGGAGATCGATCGACATCATGATATTGACTAACCCTGCTGCCCGTTTGGTCTGATTTTCAAGCAAGGGTACCTTGTATTCAACAATACTGTACAACACAGCTTGTTCCGTGATCTATTTATCCTATCTACCACTTTTACATCACGTTATTTGCCTATATTCAAGCGCCATACCCGAAAGGGATTGACAACCGTTATGCACGTGTCGGTTGGCCATTGGCTGGACCGCATGTCCAAAATGGTCATTTCCCATCAGGGAAGGTTGCGGTTATAGACGGCCAGCCCACACCGGCGTTGTCCGGTGGCTGATCCGTTTGACTATGAGAAGATTGTTGAGCAACCCACTCTCCTGAGTGATTTGAGTTTAAAATCCACCAGGAGAAAAACCCAACGCCGAAAAAATAGATAGTGGTTCAGCATCACTCGAATCTAAGTCCAGTACGCTCCACCTATTACTCTTGTGAGCTGAGAACTCTCTAGACGGTTAGGTGTCAATTTCTTCAGAGACCAAGAGTAATTGTGGTTCTCGACCAAGAAGTCTGTAAAGGTTCAGATCGCCTCAAGAATCTACCACGAGTGATCGACAATGGTTGATGAACCAATTGTTGAGGAGAATAGGACACAGAGAGTTTATCTTCTGTTTTAAATCACAACAACCCCTCCAACTAGACGTTGTCCTTTTGTAGAAGGGCAAACTGGTCTACCAAATTCATTGTCGCCATCGAGCATCATGGGTTACCTCTATTTCTCCTCTTTAGATTCGAACTGTGCTGAATGATAGATTTCAATCATGTGATTTGTCTCGATGGATGCTTTTAGTTTCCATTTGTTAGTTTGTACTCACTCATTGTATTCTGTTTTCTTTCACTCCGCTGGGTTCCGAGAATTTTGATATTTTCATTCACTCTGGTAGACATACTTCATTCCTACATAGGGGCGGCGTAGATCGACGATGGGGCGAGAGTGCATGACAAGCGAGAGAGCTCGACGGGAATGAACTCATCCCCTCACCTCCACCTGATGGTGTAACGCATCTCAGAGCCGCTCCTATCAAGGCACTGAGCCCCGTCCCTGAGGAGCGAAGCACCGAAGAGAGGAGACACGAGATCGAGGGGCGTCGTTGATCAGCGATGGGGCGAGGGTGCATGCCAAGCGAGAGAGATCGAAGGGAATGAACTCGTCCCCTCACCTCCACCCGAGGGTTTAACGCCTCTCAGGGCCGCTTCTATCAAGGGGCTGAGCCCACACCCCTGCGTCTCCTTGTACATGTTCCCTGCTTGAGGAGCGAAGCGTCGGAGAGAGGAGACACGAGAGGGAGGGAGGTGTAGATCGATGATGGGGCGAGGGTGCATGACAAGCGAGAGAGCTCGACGGGAGTGAACTCGTCCCCCCACCTCCACCCGATGGTGTAACGCCTCTCAGGGCCGCTCCTATCAAGGCGTTGAACCCCACCCCTGCGTCTCCTTTTGTAGGGTCCCTCCTATAGGAACGAAGCACCAAAGAGAGGAGACACGAGACGGAGGGGCGGCGTAGATCGACGATGGGTCGAGGGTGCATGGAAGCGAGAGATCGGCGATGGGGCGATGGAGCGGGGACTTTATCTCATGTTCTTTTTCTTTTTCTTTTTTCTTTTTGCGATAGGACTTTATCCCATGTTCCACCATGAACAAAGAAAAGGGCGTCTCGTGGGTTTCTAGGGAGCAGGAAGTCCATGAAAAACAGGGACGAAGAAGAGGAACTTGATGGAAGAGGGGGGACACGGGGGAAGAAAACAAGTACCAGGGCCTCTTTTTTTTGACGAAAAGGCAGGATCACTGCTTTTCATTGCGCTTAGAAGGAATAAAGGTCACAAATTACAAGAGAAGAATAGGGAGGGGTTTAGCTCGAGAAGTTACATCAATCAGGTTCTAAGGGTCGCTCGACAAGTTGTAGAACTCTCCTACGACCAGCATCAATCCAATCCTTGGCTTCAACTTGAATATTCTCGAACAGGGGTCTTGCACTGCAGGATGAATTAGTGAATACCCTCGCATTTCTTTCTTTCCAGATGTTCCACCACACAAGAGCAATAATGGACCGCCAAGTCTTTGCCTTGTCCTTGGTCATCGCCGAACTGGAGCGTTGCCACCAGCTAGTGAGGGACTCCCCATTGTTGGCCATCAAACTGTGGTGCATATGAAGCATGTCAAAGGTCAAGTGCCAGATTTCCTTAGCAAATGAGCATGTGGTAAGCAAGTGCGTAGCAGATTCCGGCTCTTGAAGGCATAGAGAGCATAGGGGGTTGTGAGGCCATCCCCTTTTTGCTAGGTTGTCTGCCGTCAGGCATCGCTCTTGAGCAGCCAACCAAACGAAAAACTGGCACTTAGGGGGCGCATCGGAGCTCCAGGCCAACTTAGCAAACAGAGGTTTGATGTTGGCAGTAAGAGTAGCCGTGTATGCTGAGCAGGAGGAAAATTGGCCGTTTGCAGTCCAACGCCAAGTTAAGGTGTCTTCCTGATTTTCGGATAGCTGCACCAGCTGCAGGTCATTCCACATGGACGTAAACTGGCTAATAGCGTCTTGGGAAAGGTTGCTCTTAAAGTGTCGCATCCATTTTCCGTCAGTTAAAGCATGAAGGATGGATATCGACTTGACAGTGCAATGCTTGAATAAATCAGGAAACCTTGAGCTGAAACTTTCTCTGTTGTGCCAAGGGTCTGTCCAAAACTGCGTGTTGGCGCCATCCCCAATGTTGAATTGGACTGAAGCCTCAAAGAGAGCCCTGACCGAGCTGGTGATAGGCAGAGGTAAACCACGCCAGGGTCGCGTAGTGTCCATCCAGGAAAGCCACAGCCACTTGCATCTCATTGCCTCACTTTTTTGGAGCAGACAGGGAATCCCAAGGCCGCCAAACTTTTTAGGTAAGCATACTTACTTCCAATTAACCAGACATTTACCCCTAGTTGCCTCATCTTTATTTGCCCAAAGGAACCCTCTGCATCTTTTGTCAAACTTTTTGACAGCCCAACGAGGAGGTTCAATGGCCAAAATCTGGAAGACTGGCAAAGCATATAAGACGGAGGTGATCAGAGCAAGCCGTCCGGCGGTGGGAAGCATAAGCTTGTTCCATCCGGAGGTGTTGCGCTGGAGCTTGTCAAAAATAGGCTGATAATGTACTTTCTGCAATCTCGTGTAACTGAGGGGCATGCCAAGGTAGATGTCTGGGAAATCTTTGATGGGGCATTGAAGCAGTGCGGCCAGCTCAAGAGTGTCAACATCCTCGCATCTGATGCGGCAAAAGCTACTTTTGGTGTAGTTAGTCCTTAAGCCAGAAGCATCCTCAAAAATATCGAGGATCTTCTTTACAGCATTGACTTCTTGATAGTTTGGTCTGACAAAGATCATCACATCATCTGCATAAAATGAGGCTCTGACTGAAGGAAGGCTTCGCCCGAGGGGTGGGAGCACCTGGGCATGAACTGCTGCACGAATCATAGCATCAAGGACGTCCATCACGAGCACAAACAATAGAGGCGATAGAGGGTCTCCCTGCCTCAGGCCCTTATGGTGCACGATGTAGTCAGTCAATTCCCCATTAACAAGGACTCTGGTTGAGGCCGAAGCAAGCATGGAAGAAATCCAATTTCTCCACTTGAGGCTGAATCCCTTTGCCGCGAGAACGTCGATCAAGAACTCCCAAGAGACGCTATCAAATGCCTTGTCTATGTCGAGCTTGATCATGATTGAGGGAATCTTCTTCAAATAAAGGGATCTGACCATTCCTTTAACAAACAGGAAGTTGTCATGGATGGCTCTTCCTTTTATGAATGCACTCTGCTTTGGTAGGACAAGCTTTTTGAGCCAAGGTTGCAGTCTTCTTGCTAAAATTTTCATTATGAGTTTAGCAAAGAACGAAAGCAAACTGACTGGTCTATAATCTCTTGCTTCTTGTGCATCTGGCCTTTTTCTAATGAGAATCAGAGTAGCAGTATTAAGACTTGCTAGGTTTGAGGAATTCAGCCCCTCAAAAGCTCGAATCGCACACATCACATCCACCTTTATAATGTCCCAACAACTCTGGAAAAACAGTGCAGTGTAGCCATCGGGCCCGGGGGCTTTCCTGGGGTTCATGTCCATAACCGCAGCCTTCACCTCTTCTTCTGTAAAAGCACTCTCAATACTTGACAGATCGACGGGGGCAATCCCAAGGGCGTTGAAATTAATACTGCAGCCTCTCTGAGTTTTAGACCCCAAAACAGAGGAGAAGTGCTCCCAAACTGCATTCAACTTATCCTCTTGAGCAGTGAGCACCCTATCATTGTGCGTTAAACTTAGCACAAATTTTTTTTGGCGTCTAGCCGATGCCTTGGCTTGGAAGAATGTTGTGTTAGCGTCACCATCTTTTAACCAGTCAATCCTCGACCGCTGTCGGCTGTGAGCACGCTGCATAGCTGCAAACCCCAGCAGATTCATCTTGAGGGCAGACCTTAGCTGTCTCTCCCCATCGGTTAGGTCTCTCTCATCTAGAGCAGCATCAAACATACCGATCAGCTCACTAGAGATTGCAGCGCGAAGCCTGAGATCACCAATGTGGGTAGAGCTCCATTTCCTTAGGGACCTGGCTGTTCTAGTAAGTTTGCAGTGCAACCTGAGGTAAGGGTCAGAACATGTTCTGGGCTGCGACCAGCAATCGAGGACCACCTGGGAGAAGCCCCCAAAAGTAGTCCAGTAATTATCAAATCGGAAGTGTCTCGGTGG